GGCGCCTTCGGCATGGGGCTGACCACGGGAAGCCACGTGCCTCATCTCTGCACGCACCCCAGTGGATCCTGCATCTCCTGCCCAGCTCTCCCCGTCTGGAGGGGAGACGCTACACACACGGCTAGTCCTGCAGGTCCCTGGCCTGCGCCAGGCCTCGTCGTGTCCCCGCACAGCCACGAAGGGGGTGCTTGTCTTGACCCATCTCGTTCCTGTCCTGCTTATCCTCCCGGATGCCCCCCTGTTAAACCCAGCCGGCGTGACGGTGCAGCAAAGGTCCCAGGGACCGTGCACCACTTGGCACCTGTAAATCACCACCATTGCCACCTCCCTCCATGTTGCGGTCAGACTCAGGACTGTCTGCACGGAGGCTGTCGCTGTCCCAGGGATGGGGCAGACCCGGTCTGGCCGGCACTGGCTCCCCAGAGCCCTGCTCCTGCCTCGTCTCGCTGCCACTGGACCCTGAAGCACGGGGGAAAGTCAACGCCATGTGTGAGCCCCGCCAGCCCTCGCTGTCGACACACCTTGCTTGTCTCTGCTCTGGCATTTCCCCACACAGAGCTCCCATGAAGGATTTGAGGAGTCCACCCACAGCGCCTGCAGCGTCTGCGCCTGTCCCCATTTGCTCCGGACAGCTGCCCACCCCTTCCTCCAGGGGCAGAGCTCAGGACACGTCCTCCACGCCCTGCGCGGTTGTCCGGCCCTTCACACCAGCCCCTGTGCAGCCCTGCGCACGGGGGCAGAGGGCATGGGGCTTTCCCCTGTTACCTGCAGCGTGGAGCAGGAGGCACTGCCAGGGGGATCTCCCATCGCGGCAGCTGCCCCCTCCGCACGTCGTGCCCAGCGCCAGCGTCCTCCCAGATCCGAAGCCAGGCACCGTCGCCCCTCGCGGCCACAGACGATCCCGTGTTAACGCGCCGTCTAACTGAAACCCTCATTTAGGAAACGATTACTTCTTGCTGCAGCAGCCCCCTGGGGTCCCTCTCTCCGCCGTGCCCCCGGACAAGGGAAGAAAGGGCTCCATGGAAGATAGCCCCTCCCGCCAGCCCAGCCCCGCTGCACGGCGCTGGCCTCCTTCCAGGGCTGCCCTGACGCCTTTGATAAGCCAGAATCACTTCCAAGCAGTTTTCCGAGCTCAAGGAACGCACGAGTCATGAGCCTAAGTGGTTTCCTGGATCCCGTCCCGATGCTGATGGCGCGGGGTTTTGGATCCCGCTGGCTCCCGGCCTGCCACCCCCAGCCCGGTCCCCCCGTAGCAGAGTGGGAGTCACGAGATGGGGGCGAGCACCAAGGATGCCCAGGGGACTAAGTGGCTGGCACAGGTGACTGCCTCAGCAGTTAATAAAGCAGTAATTAATGGCAAGAAGTCAGCCTCTGAGCCGGGCTAACCCTAGCTCTGAGGAGCCTGCATGGCACAGCCCCCTGGGCCCAGCCAGCCGGGTGCGTGGGTGCTTGCCACGTGTCCCTTGCCAGCAGCCACGCTGCTCTGGCGCCCTGGGCAGCCGAGTTCCCCGTCTCCAGGGCTGACAGCTTCTGCGGTGAGGTCCTGAGCTGGACGGCCGCTTGCCGGGAGTGCAGGACGGAAACCCCAGGCTGGGCTCTCTGTGCCCCCTGGGGCAGGGGCTGCTGCTCCCAAGCTCTCTCCCCTCTCACCCCGTGGGGACTGGGCTGCACCCAGTTGCCCCCGGTGCAGCCATCACAGTGCACACAGCTGGCAATGCAGCAGGGCACATCCCCAGGACTGGGGCGGGCACCTCAGTCCATTGGGGGGGCATCTCTCTGCCAACCCAGTGCAGCCCAATCCCCACAGGGCAAGAGGGAGAAAAGCTTGGGAGCAGCAGCCCCTGCGCCACGGGGCACAAATTGCCCAGCAAGGGCAGGAAGTCCCAGCAGCCCCGGGGGGTGCGGTGGGTGACCGGACGAAGGGTGGGTGCTGTCCCCTGCCTGAGGCGGGGGAGCCCCGCACCTCATGGGGTGCAGTCTGGAGGGCAGGAGACTGCCGGGGCTGAGGGGCTGCAGGAGCCCCTGGCAGTGCCCACCCCATGGGGGCTGCACCGAGCAGCCTCCGGGCTCCAACGGCGGCAGGGCGGGAAGCAGGCGGGAGCCGCCTCGCAGCACCTCCGGCAGGGCGGGCCGTGGCGGATAATTGCAGCCCTGTCCTGCATCGGGCCCCGCCGTGTTCCTGGCCCCTGCCTCAGCTCGTAAATCTCTCCAGGAGGCCGATAAATCAGAGCAGCCCCCGGCGGCGGGGGCACGCGGGGAGGAAGCCACCAGTGCCCTAATTACAGGCAGCGGGGACCATCCGCAGGCCCTGATTTACGGCTGGGACTTCCCCTGGGCCAGGCCGGTGCCCCAGCGGAGGGGGAAGAGGCGGCTGCCCACGGCCGAGCCAGCACGTGGGGCTGCGCGGGACAGAGGTGAGAACGTAAGACTTGCCCTTGACGGATCAGCCTATAGGACCCTCGGCGCCCAGGCTGTCTCTCTGCAGGCAGCGATGGGGCCCGGGGATGCCCTGGGCCCACGCATGGCAGGGGGGTTTCCCCAGGAGTGGGCCTCGGAGATGGGGTGTCGGCCACGACACGCCCAGGGGGCCATACTGGGGTGGGCACAGACTGCCCGGGAGCCCTGAGTGCCAGGTCCAGGGCAGTCAGCCGCAGGGGACCCACCTCCACGGCAGGCGGCTCACCTGGGCCTGCGTGGCCCTGGCGGCTGGGCAGGGGGAGATCCCAGCCTGCGCCAGTGGGAAGGGCCAGTATGGGCGGGCCCAGGTGGGCGCTCGTACATATTTGCAGCGTTTGCCTCCCCTTTGAAGTCCCGCTGCCCTGGCCCCCCTCCTTGCCCGAGGCCCCAGCCCCTGATTTATAGGGCTTCTCCAATGCAGGCCCCTAAATTAAGTGTGGCTTCAAAGGGCCAGGAGGGGAGAAGGGCAATAGACAAATAGCCCCACGCTAATTGCTCGAGCCGTGCCAGAGCTGCGCTGACGTAGGGGGCCGGCCGCAGGGGCTGCACTCGGCCAGCCACCCTGGGCTTTGTCGAGCGGGGGCTGAGGCTGTTTGTCACACCGCTGCCCTGTGCCTGACAGGGTCCCGCAGCCCGACGCCAATTAAACTATTGGCGAGGACAAGCGTCTGTCAAGGCGATGGCAGGCCGGGCACCTGGAGGGTTATCTGACCTGCGCTGACCACACACAGAGCGGGCAACGAGCCGGGCAGGGCCCCGCCGACCGGGACAGCACTCCCAAACTCTGCTCAGCCAAATGGGGTCCTGGTTTCTAAGGGCAAGGGGGGTGCTCTCTGACGGGAAGCAGCGTGGACATCGCCCCAGGCTCCCTCCCTGCTCGTCCAGCGGTGCCGCACGGGGGCGGCACACAGTGGCCCAGCAGTGAACAGGCAGTGATGCCCCACCAGGTCCCTGCCCCAGCACCTTGCAAGGCCATGGCCTGGTGACATAACGGGGCTTGTCTCCTGGCAGGGGAGAGGGGTGCTGCACCCCCCATCAAGGCACAGGAGCAGAGAAGAGGGGAGATGTAGCCAGAAAAGAGGTATTGCCCAAGCCCTGGCTGGAGGCTGGACTGCTGGAGCACCAGGTTTGCCGCTGGGGCCCCTGCAGGCTGGGTGCTTGGCGATCCACAGCACCCAGCCCCAGGTCCCCGCGGCTAGGACTGCAGCTGTGGTCAGCCATTCGTGTCATCTTGCGGTTCCCCGCAGCGCTGAGGCTGGGGCCTGGCCGGGACCCCATGACACATCCACAGCGGCAGGCCTTCCCTGCGCCCTGCCTGGCCGATCAGGTAGGAGGATGGGGGAACAATGGGTCTCTTTGAGCCTCTCCTCCTCCCCAGCAGCTCTGTCTTCCCTGAATAAATCCTGGCCCAGACAGCTCTGCCCCCAGGCGCCTGCCCTGCCCCTGCTCCCCGGGGAGGGAGGGAGCACTTCAGTGCTTTTATCACCTACCCCATCCCCCTGCCACAGGCCTGCTTCCTGCCCTGCGGCCACCAGCCAAATTCCTCTGCTTCCAGGGGCTGTGGGGGGTGTCTTTTTTATATATATATATAATATTTCATGTTCCAGGTCAAATTAGCCAAATCAGTTCCAAATCCTATCGACTGAGCAAGCAGAACTCAATCTTTCTTAACACCAGGTATGGGGCTACAACCAGCGAGCATCCTCCATCCCAGACCTCTCACCCTGGGACTTCATATACTCCTGAGTCCATTGGCAGGCATCCTGCACGCAGGCCCAAGCCCGGAGGTCTTGGGGTCCAGATGCCCCCCGATGCTACAGGCAAGCGTCCTCCATCCCAGGCTCTTTAGTCCGGGACTTCAGATACTCCCTACACTCAGCTGTAGCCCATAAAACCCCAGTACTACGCTTGATCTTAGCTCACAGGAGACCGAAGCATCTGCACAGTCAGCCCCTTTGCAAAGTAGGAGGCAGATGCTGCTTGCACCACGGATCTCTCCCCGCAAGGCCAGGCCCCTCCACTGGTGCCCGGCGGCGGTCACCCATCTCTCTCTTCACTATCATGCAGGGCCATGGGTCACGGCTCTCTGATGCCGCCCGCCATCCCAATCCAAACCCCCCTCGAGATGTGCTCCCACCTCCCGTCAGGGGTAGACGCATGCTCCGGCACCCCCAGGACCCAGGGCTCGGCGCTGACACGCTCGTGGCCCAGTCACTTCCCCTCGCCATGCCTTTGCTCTCTTCTCTCCTCTCTCTTGCAAACGCTCCCTTTCCCAGGAAGTCTGTCCGTGGCCCATATCGTGGCTTATGGCCCAGCAGAGTTGAACCCTGGCCGCGGCAGGGGAGTGATGGGGCAGAGAAAGTGCAGGGCAAGCAGCTCCAGAGAGACCACAGGAGGGAAGGCCCAGGCTGGGCCGGGTGACATGGGCGAGTCGTGCCCCACGGCGTAGCACCTGCACGTGTCAGGGGGAGGCCTTGCCCTGCCCTGCTGCTCCCAGGCCCCTGCTCAGGGGGGTAGGAAGTGGAGGACAGGAGGGTCCCAGGGGCAGCACGTGGGCGTGCTCTTCACCCCGGTGCAGCTCAGGACAAGTGCGGCGGGGCCGTGCCCTACAAGCTTTCGCATGCTGCCCGCGCCCCTCTGCGGCTCCACATACCTGGAGGCAGGTCATAAAGGGCCCGGGAGGGGAAGCACGTGATGCAGGTGAGCTCGGCAGGCGAGTTTTTAGCAGAGGACCGGGGCTGCGCTGCAGGAGTGTCTGCCTGAGCTCGCAGGAGGCGGGACGGCTGCAGTGCCCTCGCGCTCCCGGGCCGTTCGGCAAAGCCATGCCCAGCGCGGACGGCTCGGAGGGAGAGCTGGGAGAGGCCCGTTTCCCGGGGCTCAGGCAGGAGCTGTGGGTCCCCAGGGGCAGCGAGGCCTCATCTTGCCCCAGCGATGGCGAGGAGCCCAAGGGGAGGCGCAGGAGCAGGCCAGCGCGCTCCAAGGCGAGGAGGATGGCGGCCAATGTCCGGGAACGCAAGCGCATCCTGGACTACAACCAAGCCTTCAACGCCCTGCGGCTGGCCCTCAAGCACGACCTTAGCGGCAAAAGGCTCTCCAAGATCGCCACGCTGCGCAGAGCCATCCACAGGATTGCCGTCCTGTCCATGTCCCTGCGCTCCGGCCCGGCCCCGCGCTGGCCCTGTGCCCATGCCGAGTGCCGCCTCTGGTACGACGGGCCCGGGCAGGAGGACAGCGCCCCGGGCAGCCGTGCCCAGCTCCTCCAGCTGCCCCTGCAGCCTGGCTGTGCAGCTGCTGCTAACTCCCAGCGCTGCCCGCCGCACGCCGGGCACAACCCCGAGATGCAGGTCCAGCCGCGCCACGAGAGCCCGAGGGACGAGCGCTTCGCCTCTGGCCCGGCTTACCCCTGCCCCCTCGGCGTCAGAGCCGCCTGCCAGCAGAAGCACACGGACCACTTCCGAGAGGGGCCGCCCGGGCCTTGCCCTTGGCAGCCCAGGCGCTTGCAAGGCCCAGGCTGTCAGCAGTGCCTCCCCGCGCACTGAGCGGCACGAGGAGACGCGGCTGCGGCGCGCTGGAGGGGGACGCGTCGCCGACGGGTGGGAGAGCGGCATGGTGCTCGTGCGGGGGGGAGGAAGCAAACAGGGGAGCGGGGGCCCGAGCCCAGGGGTCTTGGTCACACTCGATGCGTTCTCCTCTCTTTCCGAGGAGGCTTTGGCACAGGCAGGGCGCGTTGTCGAGCTCTGTCTCCGCAGGGCTAGCGGCCTGGGCCAGGGGAGGCCCCGCGAGGAGAAGGGGCTGGGGTTAAACTGGGGCAGCGCTCAGGAAGCAGGAGCTGGCAAGGCCTCAGTGTGGGCAGCGTAAAGGTGAACGCCGCCCCCCCGTGCCCGTCCCGCGGGCGCTGCCGGGGCCGGGTTGCAAACACAGGCTGCCGGGGCCGGTGCCGTCCCCGCAGAGCGCGGGCACCGGCGGTGCAGGGAGCCGCGCGGGGGAAGACGAGAGAGCCTGGGTGACCCCGCAGCTGAGCAGCCGGCTGGCTTCCCGGGGACGCCGGAGGGGACGAGGCGCGTGCGGGGACAGGCCCCACTTCTCCTCCTGACGGGCTCGGCTCGGTCGTCCCCGCAAGGCCGCTCGGTGGCATCTTTGCTGCCCCGCTGCTGGGTGCAGCACGCCGCGCAGGCCCGTCTCATTCAATAAAGCTCCTTCTGCCCCCGAGCTAGCACGGCTCTTTTTCCCTGCACCTCTCCAGGCGCCGGACGAGGGGTTCCGCGTGCCGGGGACCACGGCGCAGCCGAAGCGCCCGGCTCCGGGCACAGATCCGCTGCCAGGGCCTCGCGGCTGGAGAACCGCTAGAGCACCCGGGTTTCCGGCACCGCGCCGCGGGGCTGTTTGCTTCCCCCGCCTGAAGCGCGGCCGACGGCGGGGGCGCAGCGGCG